ATGGCTTACGCGTCCTTTCTTATTGTTCTCTTCTTTGGGTATTAACCCCTATACCAGTTACTATATATACTGTAGGAAAACCCATGTATTCCTTAGTTCAACCTCCTGTTGAATACAGCGATTACCTGGACTCTTGACTTGACCATTGGCATTGGCCCGGCCAGACCTACCTTTCAGTACGCTTACTGAGGTAGTGACGACATAACTGTTGGCACATGGCCCAGTTATCTCAAGACGACTAGTTAGGACATCACTTCCTAACAGCATCTACCAGACCTTTCAAGACCAACCTGTATGTACAGGTCTCTTCGGCTTGATGCTGGTAGTAGTGGTACACTTCCAGCCTGGAGGGGAGCAACATTCAGTGTGTGGTGACAGTGCAGTTTGGCATTTGAACGATAACATTGTCTGACAACGCTGCTCTGGAAATCAGACATTGGCAGCGAGAGAGAATTGGAGATCCCTCCTGCATTGCTGGTTAAGTGGTTGATATGTTTGTCTCATTGGTGGAAGAGCCATGCATGGACATCACCCACGAGAGGACCCAAAGCTGATGAAAAGAGCATGAGATATCAGATACGGATGCATGTGAAGAGATAGTTGAGAGTTTAGGAGCAGTAACACACTCTATTACAACAGATGTCTGAGCAAAGAAAGTAAAGCACTGAATCATTCATTACTGTCTGTATTCTCTTTTCTGTGTTCTAGGAGCATTGAATGTTGAACTAGGCGCTGACTTAGCTGCCAGGTTCTACAGTGACTCACATAAGTATGGAACCACGTGGTCCTTTCCTATGATTGCCCACCTCCTCCTCCTGCCCCATCACACACCCTGCTTATAAGTATTGTTTTGAGTCACTTTAGAGGTACTTTATCAGATAGTATCATTAAAAGAATGTGGTATGCAATGTACAAAGAAAAAAATGACTCTAAACTCAAAGGATGTGGTTCCATACTTATGAGCATCTGCTATGCCAGAAAACATTTGGTAATCCTGAAGAAAGAGACAGAGCAATAGAAGATAAAGAACACAATGCTTTGTATGACCACCCTTGGCCTCTATCAAAGCCACCACCTGCCGAGGCATACTCTCAAACAATGCCTTAATATAGTCCATCCCAATAGCCTTCCACTCCTCCTGCAGGGTGACCCACAACTGCTGCTTGTTCCAAGGAAGAGGGTCGCAAGCATGCACCATCCGATCGAGATGGTCCCAGACATGCTCGATGATGTTCATATCTGGGCTGCTGGGCGGCCACAATAGAATGGCGAGCTTCTTCTTGAGCCAGCTCTTTGTAAACTTCAAGGTGTGCTTTGGGTCATTATCTTGCTGGAAATAGACTTGCTTCTGCTTGAAGCCATGCTCCTTGATACTTGGGAGGAGGTTGTCCTTGAGTATCGAGATGTATTTCTGTGAATTCATTGTCCCATCAATATGATAGAGGTGGCCTGGCCTGACAATACTGATGCAACCCCACACCATGATGCTCCCACCGCCATACTTCACCACTTTCTTTGTGAAACGTGGGTCATAAGCCTGCCCGGTCCTCCTCCAGCACCACTGACGCCTGTCCAAACCCACAAGATTGAATTTAGACCCATCGGTAAAAACGATGCCCTTCCAATCATCCACTGTCCAATCCTGGTGGGCCAGGGCCCGTTCCAACTGCTTCTGGCAATGCGCTGGGGTGAGCAGGGGCTTCTTGTGCCTCACGCGAGCCATCAGGCCTATCTCCCGCATGCGTCGGCAGATTGTTTCAGCACTAACGTCCGGGAAATGCTGCCTTTTGAGGTCAGCCACATTGTGTGTGGTCGTGTTGGCCAGCTGCCAGGCCGCAAACCGGGTGTCCCTAAGTGTGAACTTGCAGGGCCGACCCGTCTTAATCCCTACAGCACAGTAATCAGTAGTGCCTTGGTACCATCGGTAGATCTTGGACACAGTGGACCATGTGACTCCAATCTGGGCAGCAACCTCTGAATTTGAGGCTCCGGAGGCCTTCATGTGGCAGATACGAGCTCTTTTGGTAGGGCTAGTGCAGATCATGAGTTTGGCAAAGTAATGCAGCAAGACGGGTGAGCAGGTGCAGTGTCAACGTGGTAAGACAGCATGATGAAGTTGAGCGTGCCTCGGCACCGGCCATTTCCTCGAAAGTATGGAACCACTGCCACCGGAATTTTCTGCCCAAATCTCCTCAACCCATAGGCACTGATGAGCGCCGGTGGAAATGGTGAAGGGAAATGGGACACCCAGCACAACAACCACACAGCAGGCTCGAAGGTCTGTGCGTCACCGGACACCCCAAGCAGAAGGGCGACCCAAGACCCAATGGAAAGGAAATAGAAATGGAAGGGTATGGGCCCAAGTAAAAGGGAACCGGAAACAAGAGTAAGATAAGGGGAGAGGAAGAGGAAGCAATACAACAGATAAGAGAGAGACACACACCCGAGAGCCCTGGGGGTAAAACCAACAAACGCTGGGTAGTAGGATACTCACAGTGACGAAGGAGTCACAAGAGGGGCCCACAGCGGTAGACAACGTTGGTAGAACACTAGTAAAACTTGAGAGTACGGATCCAAACCGGCGGAACGCGATCCGAGGCACGTAGCACTCTATATAACTGCAAGACTGCTGGAGGCTGCCTAAGAGGGTATGCTGGAAGTTGATAGAGCGGTCGGAAAATACTGAAACTTGTCAAATGGACTCTCTATAGATACTAGACGTTGGGAAAGTCAAGGACAGACGGATGCATGCACTGTAGAACACTAGAGAAATTGAATACTTGCTGGAAGTCGAACTGTGGCTGAGGCTGAGGAGACTGTTGCTGAGGCTAAGGCAGAGGCTGGAGACTGTTGCTAACGGCGAGGGGACACTCTGAGCAATGACGGATAATAGATCTTTGGCTCTAAGCTAGGGGGCCACAAACTCTGGGGGGGGGGGGGGGAATCTGTGCTATGGTGGCCTAAGGGGGGTACAAGACTATATCTCAAGAACGGTTAATCGTACAATTCCGCAAACCATTGGAATAGACTCAGATGTATTGAAAACGGTAGGGAACCGAAGAGGGGATGAATCGAACCAATGGGAGACTAGCTATGAATATAGGGAGGTCAGGTGGAGGGAGAAGCAAAGGCTCAATTAAAGTCCATGGGCTGGGGAAGAAGCAGGAAGCAACAGAGGGCTAGAGCAAGACAAAAGGGGACATATCAAGAGATGGGGAAGCCAGGAAGCCAGGGAGAAGGCACAGCCAGCTTCCCTAGCACTCATCAAGTCTCATATGAGGATCACTTCCCAAATAGGCATATGTCAGGGAATGACCTCATACCTAAAGTTGCCGAAGTTCGGGTCAGGGCCGGGTCAGGCATAGTTTCCTGACCTTTGAACTGAACCTCGGTGGAGGGTCAGGCATCCAGTGAACCTGGCCCTGAACCAAGGGTCATATGGGGGCCGGGTCACTGCCGGGTTGGGCCAAGGTCGACCTTGGGTCGACCCTCCTTGCAGAACAAAAAGAGAATAATAAAGAAAATATGAATAGTGAGGTCCAGGGACACTAGCAGGAGCACTACCAACATCTATAGCAGCATATGTGATTGAGAAAAGTACAATCCAAGTGAAAAACTGCAATTACATGGGTGTTTCTTGTTTCTCAGATGACTCTCAGTCAAGCCCCATTGCCTTTCCAGTAACTCTGACCCTGAGCATGGGCTCAGAGGTCTTTGAGAAGACCATTCCAAGACTGAAATACCACAGGTAATGTTACATAGCACATCCCCCCCTCTGTCTCTCAGTGCATCACAAATATTACCTCATTCCAAGCTGTATATATTGAGGAGGAGGGTCAGGGTTGACCCCGGTTCGACCTTGGGTCAGACTGAGGAGACACTGCTTGAACCTTGACCTGGCCCTCCATTGAACCTAAGGGTCGGGTCGATGTAGGTTTGGGTCAGGAGGGTCGGTTCAGAGGTCGACCTCAGTTCAGAGGGTCGTGAACCGAACTTCGGCAACTTTACTCATACCTCCTCAGGAGGAACAGGGAGAGGGACTAGAGACCAAGTAGAGACTTCTAGAGTCAACTAATAGACCATAGACCAGGCTCTGACTTCTTCAGAAGCGAATGGAGGAGTAGTTGTGTGGCTGGTGGGTAGTATGGGGAGTGGGTAAACTCCTATGTTTGATGGAGCGGTCCAAAAGGCTAGATATTGAGTCTGTTGAGTATAGGGAGTGTGGTCCGACACTTGGTAAAGGCATGAGGAACTGGCAACTATGGTCCATGGCCAACAAATGATGGATGAGTCAAGTAATGAATGGACCATATGAACCCAGTAATGAAGGGTGATAGCTTGTAATGGGGATAAAGAGTGATGGATAGTGAGGGGTAGGGACCTGCTATACGGACAGTAGAGGTGAAGGCAGAGCTGCTTCCGCAAACAGAACCTAGTGGGGCATATCAGCGCACTTCAAAACTATGTTGCACATAGGTAGATTGGACCATATAGAGTACAGTAGTAGTCCTATACACATCTGCAAGGTCCCCAAATAATAAATATAACTATTGGAGCCCATCCAACCAGGGTGGTTCCATACTTTTGTGAGTCACTGTACAATGTACCAGAACATACCAGAACCCTCTGGAATATTCTGGTATATCTCATTATTGTACAATGGCATGGAGCTCATGTGGGTCAGTGACATCATAGGTGGAGCTCAGTAGGATTATAGATATTCCACATAGCTTAGTCAGCCTATGGGCCACTGTGTATATAAACCCTGCAGCTCTGCTGCCAAATGACAAGGGTCGTTTATACGAGCTTTACCAGTAGCTACAGCATCCAACCAATACAGGTGAGTTGTGTAGGGCGCACTGTGCGTGCTGCTGCCTCCATAA